ATAAATATTATAATGAATAAAATTTAATTTCTATCTTAACAACACAGCATAAAAAATCCCTAAAAGGGAAAATGGGTTGAAAAGTATATTTTCCACGGACTTCACGATTTGTTTAGTTTGTAGACTGTAGGGTCCTTTTCTCCTTATTTTGTCTAGGGCACTGCTAGGGGCACTCGCTTTTTGCACTCTGCGGCCAACACTTCCCCTTTCATTGGGCCACGTAAGCTTCTTTAAAGCTTTCAGGCGCAACCTCTCCAACCAAAATAACGTGGCCCAATAAAAGAGAAAGTGTTGGCCGGAGAGTGCAGGAGACGAGTGCCCCTAGCATTGCTCTTTTGTCTATCATATCAAAGATGGGACCACAAGTATCCCACGGGCCACGATGCCAAATCTTGTGGCTGTCCTGTCTCCAAAAGCATTTCTCGAATGTGGACAAATACCCCGAATAGCAATTTGTCACGAAATCCACGAGGTTACGTAGGAATTTTCATCTTGAAAATGAAAATTTTAAAAATATTTTTTTATAAGGGTAAGAATAGAGGTGATTTTTTTCCAATGAAAAAACTTTAAAGAATATTTTTTCTGTGGAGTGAAGACGGAGGTAATTTTATTCCAACGAATTTTTTCTGCCATACGTGTCCCTGTCGCAATTCATATGTAACGGAAAAAAAAATAAAAATTTAGATTTTTATAAATTATAATTATTTATAAAAATATAAAATTCAATTAATTTTTACCCAACTCAATTTAAATTTATATTTTTTAAATTATAATATATTTATAAAAACATAAAACCCATAATTTATTTTAAATTTCTACTCTCTTTATGCTTTTTTTTATAGATGTTTTAGATTGTATATATTTGCTCAATTCTATGCATTTGTCTGTTTTAAATTTTTACCTTTTTTATTTTTATGTTGTATTCTTTATGATGTTTGTAAAATTTTTTAATGCTTTTTATTTTTGCAAGTTTTTATTTTTATACTTTATAAATTACACTTTATGTAATATTATAAAATTTATTTATAAAAAATATTAGATTCTACAATTTTAACATTTAACAAGAATTTCATATACCCATAGAGACTTACTAATTTTGACAAGGATGAGAACAAATGGTATTTTTTGCTACCTAACAAAATCCTTATAAAAATCCCTTTACTCACCATTATTCAAGGATGGAGATGGAGAGTAAATCCTGCCCTCATGAAAACTTGTTGCCATCTCCACAATTGGAGATTAATATCTATTTATAACAAATAGAGAATTCTATTATATTTATAAGAATGTAAGGATTATATATATATACATATATATGAATTTTAAATATTAACACTTATAATATATTTGATTTGAAGAAATGGAGTGAAAAGAAAAAATTTTTTATCAATCAAATTA